CCCAGGAAGTGTTACCAGCTGTCTATCCCTCATCCCTCTTTCTGCTGGGCTTCTCCTCCCTACCTGTGTGGAAGACTGAAAGGGAGGGTTCTAGGGGTGAGCCCAAACAGACCCTGAACCACATCCTGAGCAAGCCCCACCTCCTGGGAGGGCTGCAGGAGGGGTTGGAGGCTTGAATCAGCAGAAACAGAAGCAGCAGCCTCCACACTTGGGATGTGAGTCCCACCATGGTGCCCTGCACGGCCTGGGTGCGAGTGTGAGGGGACCTAGAAGCCTGTGTGTTGCATGTGGCCATGGATCCCTGGGACAGACCCCTTTCTTTCTCAGCCTCAGTTTCCCTATCTGTAAAATGGGACAGGCCAGGCACGGTGGCTCATGCCTGTAATCCCAGCATTTTGGGAGGCTAAGGCGGGCGGATCATGAGGTTAGGAGATCAAGACCATCCTGGCTAACACCGTGAAACCCTGTCTCTACTAAAAATACAAAAAATTAGCTGAGCGTGGTGGCGGGCACCTGTAGTCCCAGCTACTCAGGAGGCTAAGGCAGGAGAATGGCATGAACCCAGGAGGCAGAGCTTGCAGAGAGCCGAGATTGTGCCACTGCACTCCAGCTTGGGCGACAGGGCGAGACTCCGTCTCAAAGAAAACCAACAAAAAAACACTGTCTTTGGGGGCTGTGTGTGAAGAGGTGGCAAGGACAATCAATCCAGGCTAGGCATGGGGGCTGAACCAAGGAGGCTATCCCTGTATCCAAGCCAGACGCATTCATCAGGCGCCTACCATGCCCTCTTGTCGAACCCAGGGCAGCCTGGAGAGGTGGGTACAGGGGTTGCCAGGCAGAGGACAGACAGCCCAGGGGCAGGACAGAGACACTGAAGTAGAGGGAGCCTCAGTTGGCCTTGGACTCAATGTGCAACTGTGAGCTGGTGCCTCAGTTTACATATCTGTAAAACGGGGTGAGAAGTGGCTATGTCAGGAGTCATAAGATTGGACTCATCTGTGAAAGTGCCTGGCACATGGTAGGTGCACAGTAAACCTGTCATTGTCCTCATCTCCCAACACTGTAACGAGGATATTTATTTATTTATTTATTATTTATTTATTTATTTCAAAACAAGAGTCTCACTCTGTCACCCATGCTGGAGTGCAGTGGCACGATCTTGGCTCACTGCAATCTCTGCCTCCTGGGTTCAAGCCATTTTCCTGCCTCAGCCTCCCAAGTAGCTGGTACGACAGGAACCCGCCACTGCACCCAGCTAATTTTTGTATTTTTAATAGAGATGGGGTTTCACCTTGTTGGCCAGGTTGGTATCGAACTCCTGACCTCAGGTGATCCACCTGCCTTGGCTTCCCAAAGTGCTAGGATTACTGGCATGGCCACCGCACCCGGCCATGAGGTTAAATGAAGCCTGCCCTATACTCAGGAGACTGAGGTGGGAGGATCACTTGAGCCCATGAATTTGAGGCTGCAGGAAGCTATGATCGCATCACTGCACTCCAGCCCAGGTGACAGAGCAAAACCCTGTCTCTACAAAAATTAAAAAATTAGTCAGGCGGGTGGTGCATTCCTGCACTCCTAGCTACTTGGGAGGCTGAGTCGGGAGGATGTCTTGAACCCAGGAGTTCAAGGCTGAAGTGAGCCATGATTGCACCACTGCACTCCAGCCAGGGCAAGAGAGTAAAACCCTGTCTCTAAAACAGGCCAGGCGCGGTGGCTTACACCTGTAATCCCAGCACTTTGGGAGGCCGAGGCGGGCAGATCACCTGAGGTCAGGAGTTCAAGACAGCCTGGCCAACATGGCAAAACCTCATCTCTACTAAAAAGACAAAAACTAGCCTGTAATCCCAGCTACTCGGGAGGCTGAGGTAGGAGGATTGTTTGAACCCAGGAGGCAGAGGTTGCAGCAAGCCAAGATCAGGCCACTGCACTCCACCCTGGGTGACAGAGTGAGACTCTGTCTCAAATAAATAAATAAATAAATAAATAAATAAATAAATATTAAAATTAAAACATTTAAAAAATGCAATAAAAAGCCAGCCCTCTAAAGGACTCGCCCATTGTAGCAAGTCAATAAATGTATGTTGAGTAAATAACAAAAATAATGACGCAGCTCCTTCCATGGCATGATGTCTTCCCGTTTCCAAAACTGCTAGCTTTCTGCAGCTGGGTTCTCAGCACTGTGGACATCTGAGCCAGATCGGCATGTGTGTGCTGGGGAATGTGCTGTGCATGGCGGGAGGTTGCGTAACATCCCTGCCTCCACCTACTGCATGCTAGCAGCAACTCCCCCCGCCCACCGACCCACCCCTGTCCCAGTCATAACAACCAAATATGTCCCCAGACATTGCCAAGTGTCCCCTGGGGGGCAGAATTACCCTGCTGAGAATCACCGCCCAGCATCGTGGTGACTGTTCAAAGTTCCCGTTTAGCAGAAGAGAATAAAGGCTCAGAGAGGGGCAGGTCTAGCCCAGGGTCACACAGCACAGTGGGGTGGAGCTAGCTTCTGCACTGGGCATGACTCCGGGCACAGCCAAGCAGGGGTGGAGGCCAACAGCTCTGGCCATGCCAGGGTTCCAGGAACTGCCAGCAGGGGCCCAGGACATGCCACTGTTGCAAAATCTGAGGGCGGCATGCCGGCAAGCCTGAGCAGTTGCCATGGCCTCAGCCCCGTGGGCACCGCCAGGAAAGAAAAATGCAACTCACACCTGGGCACCGGGACAACTGGTGGAACCCCAGGCGTGGGATGGCTACCGGAAAGCAGGGCCCAATCAGAGACGGCTGCCTTGCTGTGTGGCCTATCAGAAGATGGCTGCATATGTCCTGGCCAATGAGAATCTCCCAGTGAGGAAGGCCACGCCCCCCCAAGTGAAGTCCATTGGCCCCATGAAACGGCTTTGATCCTAAAATTTCTTCTTCACTCTGTTGGTTGCAGACGCAGGTCAGCTGATGCTTCCTGATGCGTGGGCACTGAGGGTCGATCTGGGAGAGCAACCTTCTCAGAGGTGTGCCCCCAGACTGTTACCACCTACCCAGAGCCAGGATTCTCCTTAACATTTCGATGCCACTTATTAACCCTTTATGTATTTATTTATTAAACAGAGACAGGGGTCTAGCTATGTTGCCCAGGCTGGTCTCAAACTCCTGGCCTCAAGTGGAATTCTCACCTTGGCCTCAAATTCCCAAAGTGCTGGAATTATGGGTGTAAGCCACCACGACCGGCCTCATTAAACATTTACTGAGGCCGGGCATGGTGGCTTATGCCTGTAATCCTAGCACTTTGGGAGGCCGAAGCAGGCGGATCACGAGGTCAGGAGATCGAGACCATCCTGGCTAACATGATGAAACCCCACCTCTACTAAAAATACAAAAAAAATTAGCCAGGCATGGTGGCAGGCACCTGTAGTCCCAGCTACTCGGGAGGCTGAGGCAGGAGAATGGCGTGAACCCAGGAGGTGGAGCTTGCAGCGAGCCGAGATCGCGCCACTGCACTCCAGCCTGGGCGACAGAGTGAGACTCCGTCTCAAAAGCAAAAAAACAAAAACAAAAAAAATTTATTGAGCCTCTGTTACGTGCTAGTCACTGAGGATGTGATGATGAACAAGGTGGATGTAGAATGTAGAGAAACAGCCACATTGGAGAAAGGGCCCTCCAGGCATAGGGAACAGCCCATGCAAACAGCCTGGGGCAGGACGGCACCTGATGTGTTGGAGGAACAGCGAGGAGGCCCCTGTGGCTGCAGCAGAGGGAGGAGAGGGAGAGAGGGAGGAGGCGAGGGCAGGGAGGGACAGGGCAGGTCAGGCAGGGCTTTGTGGCCCTCAGGGAGGACTCTGTTGCCTGGAGGGCGGTGAGGAGCCATGGAGGGCTTTAGGCAGTGGAGGGATGTGATGTGGGACTGGAGCCAGGTCCTTTCCCTCTCTGAGCCTCAGTCTCCTCATCCATCAAACAGGGGGATGAGAATGCCTACCTGGGGGCCCAATGCAGAGGGGAGGGAAGGACCCCACACAGTGGCCGGCACATGGCAGGAACACAGCTCCCACCAAGGTCCAGCCCCGTCATAGCCTGCCTGGGCCTGTGACGTCCCCTCGGCCCGGATGCCCCACTCCCACCCTCACCCCTGCAAGGCCTGTCCTACCTGAAGCAGCCAGAGGGTGCCTGTGAGCACCTGAGTCAGGGTCCAACCCTCCTCTGCCCGCAGCCCTCCATGGCTCCCACCTCTATCAGGATCAAAGCCCAGGTGCTCCTTGTAGCCTACGAAGTCCTGCACAACCTGTTCTGTCCCCTCCCTGCCCTCCCCTCCCCACTTACTCCCTGTCGCTCACTTTGCTCCAGCCACACAGGCCTCCTCCTGTTCCTCCACGCCAGGCATCATCCTGTCCCAGGGCCTTTGCACAGACCTGGAACGCTCTTCCCCCCACGCTCCCCATGGCTCCTCCCTTGCCTCCTTCAATTCTCAGCTTCTTAAAATTGCACCCTTGGCCGGGCGTGGTAGTTCATGCCTGTAATCCCAACACTTTGGGAGGCTGAGGGGGATGGAGCACCTGAGGTCAGGAGTTCGAGGCCAGCCTGGCTAACATGGCGAAACCCTGTCTCTACTAAAAACACAAACAATTAGACGGGTGTGGTGGCGGGGGCCTATAATCCAGCTACTTGGGAGGCTGAGGCAGAATTGCTTGAACCCAGGAGGCGGAGGTTGCAGTGAACCGACATTGCACCATTGTGCTCCAGCAGCCTGGGTGAGAGAACAAGACTCTGTCTTTAAAAAAAAAAAAATTGCACCCTTAAGCCTGCCCCACCCGCCTCCCTCTTTCCCTGGCCTCCTTTTCCTCAGTAGGACTCGCAGCACGCTGTCCACTTTCCCTCTGTGTCCTGGTCACTGCCTGTTTCCCCATCTGATTATCAGAGCCATGAGGGCAAGAACTTTGTTTTGTTCTTAGTAGCAGTAACCCCAGAACCCAGAACAGGGCCTGGCACACAGCGGGTGCCCAATAAATGCGGGTACATGAGTTGTTGAAAGGCGGTTGTTATTATCCTTATCCCCTCCGTGTTCCAGATCAGTCCCTGTCTCCCTTTTTGCCCTCCTTCTCCCACTCTAGCCACCCTCCTCAGCCCTGGGGGAGCCCCAGAGGTCCTTTGGGTGGGAGAGGGAAGAGCAGGCAGGACCAGCCACCTCCAGCAGCCTTCAGCCCCTCATCACACCAGCGGCCGAGCAGGAGTCCTGGTGATTTTCTTCTTGAATCAGAGGAGGGGTCGTAAGCCCGGCAGTGGCCACACTTGTGTAGGGGGATCTTCATGCCACAAGGTTGCCTGAGCTCGGTTCTGGCCAGAGGCTGTCCTGTGGGATGGCTTCCCTGGAGATGGTGGGGATGGGTCTATGTGGGTGGGTGCAGAAATGCCACGGGGTCCCGACCCCCCACTCAGCCTGTAAACCCAGCTCAGACCATCTTGGTGGGGGTGGGAGGCAAGGCCCCGGCGAGCCCCCTCTTTCCCTATTTCTGGCCCAGGGTCCCCGCCTTTAGCTCTGGATTCGCCACCAGCAAAACCCCGAAACTCCACGAGGTTTTCAACAATGAACAGATGTCACAGGCGGTGGGGATGGGGGCCGAGCCAAGTCTGAGAGGACCCAGGGTCTGTGGAGCAGTCCTGCTGCCCTCCCAGTGAGGAAACTGAGGCAGGGAGCCCCCCTCCATGCCCCTGTGCCTGGGGCTGGGAAGCCAGTGCCATCCTCGGAAGATCCCCGGAGCGGCCACGTCATAGCTGGCGAGGGCAGCTCCAGGGAGGGCGAGGACCGGGCCCATTGCCATGTCAAATTCCTCCCGGAGCGGTGGGGGAAGAAGGAGACGGAGTGCTTTTTTTGTCTTCCCTTCATCCTCACCCCCCCTTCCCCAACTCCACAACAGAATCAAAAGGAGGAGAGAGAGAGCTGTTGGCAGGAAGAAGGAACTGGAGCCAAGCCGAGGCTGGGCTCACCCTGAAAAATCACACTCTGGGCGGGAAGAGAGGACAGAGGCTCTTCCACCCCCTTCCCAGCATTTTGCAAAAGCGGAAAGGGGGTGGCCCGCTCAAAGGGCATCAGATGCGGCCTTCACGGCCCGCAGCTGGCAGCTGCCACCTCTCCCACGAGTGGCTCGACAGGCTTTCTACCTCCAGACCTTAGCTTGGCCGTCCTCTCCTCCTGGAATGCCTTTCTCGTCTACCTCAGTCTCCTTCCGGGCACCACCTGGGATCTGGACTTCAAGCCCCATGGACCTACAGGGCCAAGAAGAGTCGTGCTGCGGCCTAAGGCCAAAATAAACCCCCAAATCAGTAATACGTAATCGATCTTTTTGTTTGTTTGTTTTTTCTGTTTTTTTTTTTTTTTTTTTTTTTTTTTTTTTTTTTGAGACAGAGTCTCGCCCTGTCGCCCAGGCTGGAGTGCAGGCACGATCTCGGCTCACTGCAAGCTCCGCCTCCCGGGTTCACGCCATTCTCCTGCCTCAGCCTCCCGAGTAGCTGGGACTTCAGGCGCCCACCACCTCGCCCGGCTAATTTTTTTGTATTTTTAGTAGAGATGGGGTTTCACCGTGTTAGCCAGGATGGACCCGATCTCCTGACCTTGTGATCTGCCCATCTCGGCCTCCCAAAGTGCTAGGATTACAGGCGTGAGCCACTGCACCTGGTGTGTAATCAATCTTTATTTAAATATCGATATTTCATTCATTCTGGATCTTCTGCAATCACTTTTATCCTTAGAAAGTTTGTGTTAAACCATGAGTTATCAGTTGGGTAAGGTGGCCTCACCCACCCAGCACCCAGTGTCAACCCAGCATTTTGGGAGGCCAAGGCAGGAGGATCGCTTGAGGCCAGGAGTTCAATACTAGCCTGGGCAACATAGCAAGACCCTATGTCTACAAAAATTTAAAAATTAGGCCGGGCGCAGTGACTCACGCCTGTCATCCCACCACTTTGGGAGGCCGAGGCAGGAAGATCACTTGAGGTCAGGGGTTCGAGACCAGCCTGGCCAACATGGCGAAACCCTGTCTCTACTAAAAATACAAAAATTAGCCGGGTATGGCGGCAGGCGCCTGTAATCCCAGCTACTCAGGAGGCAGGAGAATAGCTTGAACCCAGAGGCGGAGGTTGCAGTGAGCCAAGATTGCACTGCTGCAATTCCAGCCTGGGAGACAGAGAGAGACTCCATCTTGAAAAAACAAAACAAAAAAAGAGAGAGAGAAAAAAATAAAATAAAAGAACTCCAGGCAGGGGAAAGGGCTATGCGTGTCTGAACTCTGGCCCAGCCTGTGGAGCTGCGCAGGGACGGAGGGGCCCCAGGCACAGTGGGGCCGGCTGGACTAACCTGGTCATCAGTCTTTGCTCCAGGAGCTTCAGCACTGAGTTTTCAGGGAACGCACGGCTGCCTCGGTTCCTTCCTAGTGCCAGAGCCCGCTCTCGGGGGCATGACCCCAGCAGATCCGGCCATGCCAGCGGTCCCATTGTGTGACACTGGGTAACCCATTTCCTTCATCTGATGCCTCCTCTATCAAACGAGGTAATAAGGGCTCCCCTGCCTGGCCTGGGGCTGTCTGTGCATGAAATGGGATAATTGCCGGAACCCGCGGCCTGACTACCTAAGCTGTTATTAAGGCTGCAGACCTACCTGTGGGCCTCAATTTCCTCATCTATAAAATGGGCTCATACCTGCTGCTGTTAACCTCTCAGGGTTCTGGAGGATCAAGGGGCACTGAGGATGCCTTGCAGAAGAAACGTCTGAAGGACGAGCAAATTCTGCAAAAGTGGCCACAGTGGCTTTTCTTGTGAGGCTGCTTTCCCCCCACCCTCAATTTGTATAATGTCCCTTGCAAAAGTGTAGAGAAGGAGGAAAAAATATAACAAACAAACAAACAAAAAACAGCCAACACAGCCATTGTTGCAATTTTTTTTTTTTTTTGAAACAGTGTCGCTGGGCTGCCCAGGCTGGAGCGCAATGGCCAGATCTCGGCTCACTGCAAGCTCCGCCTCCCGAGTTCAAGCAATTCTCTTGCCTCAGCCTTCCAAGTAGCTGGAATTACAAGTGCATGCCACCACGCCTGGCTAATTTTCGTGGGTTTTTTTTTTAGTAGAGAGGGGGTTTCACCATGTTGATCAGGCTGGTCTCGAATTCCTGACCTCAGGTGATCCACCTGCCTTGGCTTCCCAAAGTGCTGGGATTACAGGTGTGAGCCACTGTGCCCGGCCCACTGTTGCAATTTTAACCTCTTTTCTCCTGTTCCCAAACCTCATCCGTCAGTTTCTTTTTTCTTTTCTTTTTTTTTTTTTTGAGATGGAATCTTGCTCTGTCGCTCGGGCTGGAGGGCAGTGGTGCAATCTCAGCTCACTGCAACCTCCACCTCCTGGGTTCAAGCTATTCTCCTGCCTCAGCCTCCCAAGTAGCTGGGACTACAGGCATGGCATACCACCATGCCCCGCTAATTTTTGTGTGTTTAGTAGAGACGGGGTTTCACCATGTTGGCCAGGCTGGTCTTGAACTCCTGACCCCAGGTGATCCACCTGCCTTGGCCTCCCAGAGTGCTGGGATTACAGGCATAAGCCACTGCACCCGGCCATCCCTCACTTTCTTTTCCTGCCCTTTTTTGCTGCTAAGAGATAGAAGGTAGAGCCATTGGACCTGAAGATGGGCTTTGTGAGTCAACTTGCCCAAATTCAAATCCCAGACTTAACGTTGGCTGTGTGGCATTGAGAAAGTGCTTCAACTTCTCTGTGCCTCAACTTCCTCATCTGTAGACTGGGAATGATACTATTAGGTTGGTGCCAAAGTAATTGCAGTTTTGGTCAGGCACAGTGGCTCACGCCTGTAACCCCAGCACTTTGAGAGGCCGAGGTGAGTGAATCACAAGGTCAGGAGTTCAAGACCAGCCTGGCCAACATGGTGAAACCCTGCCTTTACTAAAAATACAAAAATGAGCCCACTGTGGTGGCAGGCGCTTATAATCCCAGCTACTTGAGAGGCTGAGGCAGGAGAATCGCTTGAGCCCTGGAGGTGGAGGCTGCAGTGAGCCGAGCTCATGCCACCGCACTCCAGGCTGGGCAACAGAGTGAGACTCCATCTCAAAAAAATAAGTAAATAAATATTTTTTGTTAGAGACGAGGTTTTCCCGTGTTGGCCAGGCTGGTCTCAAACTGCTGCCCTCAAGTCATCTGCCTGCCTCGGCCTAGTTTTTGTATTTTTAGTAGAGATGAGGTTTCACCATGTTGGCCAGGCTGGTCTCAAACTCCTGACCTCAAGTGATCCGCCCTCCTTGGCCTCTAAAAGTTTTTACTTTTTTTTTAGATGAGTTCTGCCTCTGTGGCCCAGGCTGGAGTGTAGTGGTGTCACCATAGCTCACTGGAGCCTCAGCCTCCCTGGGCTCAAGTGATCCTCCCTCCTCAGCCTTCCGAGTAGCTGGGACTACAGGTGCGCTCCACACCCACAGCTAATTTTTAAAATTTTTGTGAAGATGGGATCTCTCTAGGTTGCCCAAGCTGATCTCAAACTCCTGGGCTCTGGCAATCCTCCTGTTTCAGCCTCCCAAAGTGCTAAAATGACAACTATGATCCACCCTGCTGGGTTTTGGTTTTTTACATTGTTTAGCGGTTGAAAGAAGTCAAAAGAACGCTTTGTGACACGTGAAAAGTACATGTGATTCACATTTCAGTGTGTGTAAAGTTTTACTGGCACATAGCCACGTTTATTCATGGCCATGCCGTCTATGGTGGCTTTTGTGCACTAGGGCACACCTGAGCAGGTGCGATGGGGATGCTACGTCCTGCGAAGATGAAAATATTTGCTCTCTGGCTCTTTACAGAAAAAGTCTGCACACCCCTGAGTTAATGTATCATGAGCACTTTGAACAATGCTGGGCACAAAGTGTGCTGGTATTGTTATTCAAAATGTGTTTCAGGTCGGGCGTGGTGGTTCAAGCCTGTAATCCCAGCACTTTGGGAGCCTGAGGAAGGCAGATCACCTGAGGTCAGGAGTTTGAGACCAACCTGGCCCACATGGCAAAACCCATTTTAATCTCTACTAAAAATACAAAAATTAGCCAGGTGTGGTGGTGCGCGCCTGTAATCCCAGCGACTCAGGAGGCTGAGGCAGGAGAATCACTTGAACCCACGAGGCAGAGGTTTCTGTGAGCTGAGATCGTGCCGCTGCACTCCAGCCTGGGCGACAGAGCGAGACTCCACCTCAATAAAGAAAAAATGTGTTTCAGGTTGGGCGAGGTGGCTCATGCCTGTAAACCCCACACTTTGGGAAGCCAAGGGCAAGAGGATCATTTGAGCCCTGGAGTTCAAGATCACCTTGGGCCACAGAGCAGATCCCACCTCTACTAAAAATTTTTAAAACATTAGCCAGGTGTGGTGGTGCACTCCTGTAGCCCCAGCTAGTTAGGAGGCTGAGGTAGGAGGATCCCTTGAGCCCAGGAAGACAACGCTGTAGTGAACTTTTTTTTTTTTTTTTTTGACCGAGTATGGCTCTGTGGCCCAGGCTGGAGTGCAGTGGCGCGATCTCAGCTCACTGCAAGCTCCAGCTCCCGGGTTCACGCCATCCTCCTGCCTCAGCCTCCCGAGTAGCTGGGACTACAGGCGCCTGCCACCACGCCCGGCTAATTTTTTGTATTTTTAGTAGAGATGGGGTTTCACCTTGTTAGCCAGGATGGTCTCGATCTCCTGACCTCATGATCTGCCCGTCTCGGCCTCCCAAAGTGCTGGGATTACAGGCTTGAGCCACCGCGCCCGGCCTTGTAGTGAACTATTAATGCATCACTGCACTTCAGTCGGTGACAGAGCAAGACCCTGTGTCAAAAAAGAAATGCACAAAGGTAAAAAAATTATATATGGTTCATACAAAAATGATATCATATGTTGTCCCCTATAAACATCCCATCATCATTATGTCTCCCAGACCACTGCCAATTTTTGGAAGCCTCACTGTGCCATCTCGTGAAATGTCCTCCACAGTCCCCTACTGCTGGACACTTAAGCTGTTCCCAGTTGCTAAGATGGAGCTGCAGGAACAGCCTCGCGTTTTAAGCTAGATTTGCTTTTATGTAACAATCACTTTTACGTCATTCACTATGTGTTAAGTCCTATCTCTGGGCACTTTGCAAATATCAACTTATTTCATGCTCTCTCCAACTCCCATAAACTCCCCATTTTGCAGATGTGAAAACGGAGGTTCTGTAGGTTGAGGTGACTTGCCCAGGATATGAACTCAGGCTGGACAGCTCCTGTCAATGCCCTGAGACGCCTGTCTCCTTCCCTACAGTGGAGACCCAGGAGCCAAATCACTCTGTCAAAGGGGAACAAAAATTCTTGCTGGGCGCAGTGGCTCACGCCTGTCATCCCAG